CTGTTCTTGTAACTGGGACAGGGAGTTACAGGAAAGATGGGTTTATATTTTGTAGGTCTGTCTGCAAAGTAAAATAGAGAGACGCATTATCTTTCACCACTTAAAATAAATGCTCAGTTAGTATTAAAAGCCTAAAACTGTAGCTTGGAGAAGATAAAACTCCCCGGTTAAGTTGACACTTTCCACCTTACAAAGAGGGCCCAGGTTTGATTCTGTCCACAATAACCAGCCATACACAGACAAACTGGGCCATGTCTGTCCCGTTAGCAAAGCCCAGTGCAGGAAGCAGGCAGGAGGTAATATGAAACAAGAGCTCTTTCACAGCCATTGGGGTTCTATTATGTCACGCCTTTATGCCACAGGCCAATACTTACTATGTCTTATTTTATTTTAAAGGAGATGCTTCTCTCTTGCAACCTAGGCGTTACTTTGCACAAAGATGGCCAGAGCTTCCTCAGATCAAGGGACACCTGATGGCTTGGAAGCACTCTCCTTCTAGTTCACTCCCAAACTTTCATAACTTTGCAACTTTCCTCCCACTAGTTTACCCACAATAGCTATAACAGAAGATTATCTAATACAGCTTGTTTAATTTTGACCAGAGCATTACAAACAACAGTATCTTGATTCTCTGTAAACATTAACTAAAAAGGATCGCTATGAGAGCTAGTGAAATATTGTTGAAACTTTTTGTAGGATTTTTCACAAATCAATTCACTGTCAAGTTATGTAGCATTCGGCACTTAAAAAATGAAAATTTTCCTTTGAATTTTCTTATAATCTAATATTTTTCAGAAGAGTGTTCTGGTTTTTTCTGGCCAGTGCCCTTAAAATAAGACTATTTTACATTCATTCCTTACTATGTTCACTTTTAATTTCATACCCACAAATCAGGTCAATAGCTGTCCTGCTATGCATAAAGTTAGACACATCTATAGTGGTTTACACATTCAGAGCTTTAGACATTAAAACTTTGTCCACACTCATCTGGAAAGCCAGGGATCCACTTCTATTTATACTGTGAAGGTTTTGCCAAGGATATCACATTTCTTTAATCCCAGTTTCCTGGAAAGGTGCTAACACTTTCCCTGCAGAGTGTGGATAGCCTAAAATGTGGAGGCAATAATCAGTGGCTGATGGAATACAGGCTTGTGTTTTAAGCAGCTTATTACCATCCATGATCCGCAGCCTCCTTACGCCCTGTGCTGCTGGGACAATTTTTATGGTTGCTGTCTCAGCAATTTAGTCCCATAGTTCTAATGCATTCCTATAACATGACAATGTCTGGACTACAAGTACTCTGGAGGAATGTATGAAAGCCACAAAAATAATTATACAATCGTTTAAATCATATTATTTTAACTTACATTTATAGATAATTTACTTCAATCTCTATTGCAATTTGTAAAAAGCTTTTATTTTGGAAAAAAGTTCAGTGCTTTTTGAGTTCAGAAGTCTTTCCTCCTAGAGCAAAGCTGTAAAAAGCCTTCAAGTGTCAGGTAGCAGAGTGAACTGAAAGAAATCGCCCAAATGGCAAGTGCTGTGCAACAAGCAGTAAGATATAAGCCATCCTTCCTAAATTGCACCACCTTAGTTCTGGGAACTTTATTTAAAGCCAAACCTAATTTCTTTGTAATCTGGAGAAAGACTGATCGTACAGTCACATTGTAACTTCAGGAATTAAAAAAAGTGGCAAGTCAATTCAAAGAAATACTGGATTCTTTTCCTTTGAGTCCTAGTTCATGAACTCTTCATGAGCTCAAAGCTCCTTCATAACATTAACCTTACTCTTTACATTCATGTGGAAAAAAATAATTGTTTTTGACAGGCTTTAATTTAAAGTTATAAGAACCAGCAGCCTAGACTTTAACTAAGAAATACTAGTAATTAAATATTTTAGCAACAGTGATAGGGTCATAGTTAAAAGCTGAAGTGTACTTAGAGAGGTATAAAAGGGTGTAACGGGAGGAATCATAAGCTAGTTGTGTTGGGTTTCAAGAAGCAAACCAGTTGTTGTGTCAGTCACACACAGTCTGCTGCATTTAAATCGGAGGTCTAGAATTACTTTAGAGCCCGGCTGATGAAACAGTAAAAAGGTCACAATTCTGAAATCTTGGCCACTCTTCCAAGAGATCATTTTACTGAATCTCTGCCATGCTCACCTCGCACAGAAAGAATATTTTTCATAGTCAGAAAATTGACATTGATTATCTGATCAAGCAAAAGATACTACGGCAATTTTTCCACATTATATTCCCATTGCATTGGCCTAACAAGACAAGATTTATATTTCCTTTCGCTATTATTCCTAAAACTTCATTCCTTTGTTGGAAAATTCAATATTATCTTGCCCCATCCTTCTGTATTCTTTGTCACTGAATTTCTTTATATTGTCACCATATCATGCTGGAATACACTATCTGTTTCAGACAAACCATAAACACAATTTCAGATCTCTCTGGATTAGTCCTATCTAACTAGTCACTTCTTTTTTTCAGTGGTCCAGCCAACAGTTCTTGACCACTGACAGGAGGTCTTTGACATTATCTATTTAAGTAACTTACAGTGACCAACACTGTCTACAGATGACTGATAGCAGACAAGGAATTGAGGGGTCTCTGGCTTTCACCCTGCTGTGAGTGTGAGCAACTGCAGTCGATTTGGTGCTGTGGCTCTCATAGGAGTGAAGGAGCTTATCTCACATTATTCCAAAGGAACAAGAATTGACATCAGATCTGGTCAAAAGTCAGGATTTCTGTTTTGCAAGAAACACATTGTGTTTCAAAATGGTTCTTTAAAGAATTTATAAATTTTACTGATGGCTGCTAAATCCCCCCACAAATACATTCAAAAGTGTTCTGATTCTCAAAGTAAAAATCTCTTGAGCCCTGAACACATTTGCCCCAATGTACCAGGCTTATCTGTCCCTCCAGGACCCCTAACCGTCTCAGGGGACAGGCAGGAAGCTGGGAGGCTTACATGTCACTAATAACCTTGTAACTTGGATTCAAACCCCAAATCTTCTCCTGCAGCAGGAGACAGGCTGCAAGTCCTGAGTGCCTGGGATGAAGGTGGCCTTTTTGGGGCTTCTGGGCTGCCTGCTGTACAGCTTGGTTCTCCAGAGCAGTGGACTGGATCTTTTCAGTGTCTGGTGCCAGGTTTGGTTTCCGAAGCCTCAAAACATGGTCACCAACACCATCTTGAGTCTGTTTTGGCGCTAAATGTGGCAGTAATTTACCTCAGCCATTCCAGACGATAGCAGCCAAGACAGTGGCAGGCCTCGTGGTTCCCCACGTCCCAACAGGGTGCTGGAGGCTTGACACAAGCCTGGTTACTGAGGTCTTTGGGCTCATTGCTGGAGAACTACAAGTTAACAACTAGCCAGGTCCAGTATACCTAATATTTCCAGCTGATCTATTAGTTCTGCTATCTTCGTTTCTCACATAGTTTACATAGCAAGGTTGCCCAAGAACCGTAAATTGTGCACCCTTCACCTCAGGCAGAAGTTTCATGATGCAGTGAAACACTGATATCATCTTAGTAATCTAAGAAATTGGTCAAGGACTAAGCAGTTGAAGCTGTCTCTCAGCAGAAGTTTGTGGTGGTAATTTTCCTTTGAACATTTTCCATTCTGATAAAACGTAATTTCTGAATAAAACCAAAAAATTAACAGAATATTGCAATCCACCTATAACCGAGACCCACCTAAAAGCTTTCATATTCCTAGGTATCAACGCCACAAGTTTTACAGGTTGCAACATTACTTGCACAATGGTATCTGAAATTCCTGACGTCAGCTGCGGACATCTGCAAAGGCAGATATCAGTAGTTTCCTATTACTTAGAATAGTCTGTAAGAAAAACAGGAAAATGTCAACAGGTTCCATTTTTGCAACGCAGGATGACAAGGCAATGCTTACACAGTCTATGATAAACCTTATTTTATATAGAAATAATTACTCCATACACTCAGTTCAGATGGTTACAAATATAGATAACACCACAACTATTTAACTATGCTGCGGTACTTGTCAAGCATATGGTCCTAAAAATACAATCCTGCTTTTAAGCACGTATGAGACAGAGTTTAAGCCAGGCAAAATCCCTTATGTGTTAGTAGAACTTAGCTTTAAAACAGAGAGTCAGGGATGGTATCTTATTACTGAAGAAACAGGGGATTGTGTGTAAATGTTCTTGAACTACAAGGTAGAATCTACTTCAGGAGAAAACTTTGGAAGTTGGACCTCAGTCATGGACTTAATCAGGTATCAGTCCCCCAGAAGATTGCCTTGAAGATTCCCAGCAGTACAAAAATGGCTTGAGAACATTCCCAAAACATCGGAAGCTGGTAGGACTTAGTAGGCTTTGGACCTTCTCTTTTATTAATAAGAGCATTGCTAGCCATATTAATGTAATATTTGGTAATATATTGACCATTTTGTTGCACACTGATGTTGTTATTTGTTTTCCACCACTAAAAGCTACTGAGATTGACTGTTTTTTACTGATTGTCAAAACTGATGTTCTAAAATTCACACATAGATGTCTTAAATCATTGACATGGATTTTCAAAAACGGTAAGCATCCATTGCTTTAGTGTAGCCTGCACTTTTATACCAGATTTATCCTTTAGATTGTGAAGACTTAGTGTAAAGGTCTTTGGACAACATTTGAACAGTCAGAATTATGTATATTTTAATTTGGCATCTAACTCACATCCATCTTAATATATGTACTGAATCAAAATGTAAACAGATTGCAAACCACAATTTCCTTATTACAATCATTTCTCTTATCACAGTTTCTCATGCCATTCTGAAATCACATGAAATCAATAAATGTTGATTAGAAAATACTGTCTTACCATTTAAGCAGGCATATAAAAGCCCAGGTGTAAGTCAGAAATTCAGAAGAAAATCAAAGCAGAGATCCTGTCTTAACAGCTTTCAGCAGCACCAGTAGTTTCTTTATAAAGAAGACAGTACCTTGCAAGGGAAAAAAATGGCAAGTTTGAACTGGAGTTATCAAGGCAACAATGGTAAAAGCTATCTTTAATAGAAAATCAGATTTATTTATAATATATTGAATATTTCTTTATTTTCCTTATTAAAAGTCTTCAGAATTACATGGATTATTAACATACCAAGTATCTGTATTATGTATACACTTACTTCCAAGGGAAAGTGCCATGAATTCAGCATTGGTACAGAATTAGAAGTAGAAAACTTCCATTATTTATTTATTTTGCCTAGGACCTGACCACTGGCACAAGTTATACCCTATTGCCAATGGAGATCGTCAATCTCCTATTGATATTAAAACCAAGGAAGTAAAAAAAGATGCATCTCTGGGGCTTCTCCAGATCACCTGGAAACCTTCCACATGCAAAGAGATCGTCAATGTTGGACATTCATTCCACGTGAATTTTGAGGATAAGGACAATCAATCAGGTTAGTAAAAGGGGGATCTGCAGAGGGGAATGTGAGACATTTTCTTTTTTTCCTTCTCTTTTTCTCTAATTTATACAGAAAACAAGACTAGTTGCCTTTCAGGAGTATTTATATAGATTAGGATATGCTTGCTGATTTTGTTATACTAGTTGGCAACATCCTTTAAGTGTCACAGAAGATCCAAATTCTGTTCTTTAAAATTAGGACTTGTAGGCAAGTGTTCTTGTGTTAATGGCAAAAGAACTGGTAATTTCCCAGTAGGAAATCTCCAGGATAATCACTGATTTGGGAAGGGGAAGGTAGGAGGAGTCTTTCTAAACACAGTTACTCAATTGTGCCTTTTTTAAAATTCAACACATGGTGGGAGATTTATGCATATGTAAAAGTTACTCACAGTATAACTCCATATGGAATCACTCTGGACTAGGTTTTTTTCCTCAGAGAGTCTTATTACCTTAATAGCAAAGGAGGAGATTTCTTTGCACTGATGTGTAACATTGCAAGTGCTGCAAGAACTCCAGGCACATATTTCTAAGAATCATGCACAATTACAGGTGCCTATCACCACAGGGGAAATTGATACACATTTATGTGCCTGTAAGCAAGGAATTAATGATAATGACCAATAAGCAGTGTCAATAACATCTGAGTACACCTGTGGCATCTCATAATCTAAACTGAGATAACATCGGGTACCTATAACTGTTACTTCTGCGAAGAAAGAGAACTCTAAAATACTGTCATAAATAATACAAATTTTAGTGGGAAGTGAGTCCCATGAGGTAGGATGATTTGTTCGGCAGTTATTAAAATTCAATTACTGTTTCTGGCAAACTGCTGGTTTTCTCCATTATTTTTGCTTTTGTTTTCTCTCTGGAGTAGAAGGTATATTCACATATGTTTCACCTGAATTTTGGAACTGTATCAAGGAGACCTGCAGATTTACTATAACAATGCACTCATATACACACCTAGAATTAAAACCTTCAATAACTTTCGCTTAACTGCACAAACTCTTGTTCTTTTTTTTTTTCTCCAGATGTTTAAAAATAATCTAATATCAAAACATGTTAACATGTTAACACGAAGAAAATTGCTTGCACATTATACAATCTTTAAAATCTGTAACTTGCCTGTCAGGAAGACTTTATTGATTGATGTTTTTACCATACTTCATGCATTTGCAGTGCTGACTGGCGGACCTCTCACTGGAACATATAGATTGCGGCAGTTTCATTTCCATTGGGGCCAAACAGATGAGCAAGGCTCAGAGCACACAGTGGATGGAAAGAAATACGCCTCAGAGGTAGAGTCAATGAAAGAAAAGTCAAAGTAAAGTTTCCAAAGTTAGGTCAAATATGTCATCCCTAGGGGAAAATAAAGCGTACAGAGATAGCTTTGATAGTTATTTCATTTTGCAAAAGCAATACCATCTCTGCATGTGCAAAGCTGACTTTGCAAGAGCAAATTGGGTTTTGTAGTCACTACTTATTAATCTAAATTTAGATAATCTAAATCCATATTTAAATAATGAAAGAGAGCTGAAAGGTGCAGGTATAAAAGCAAGTAACATCTGCTAAATGTTAAAAAGGTCAGCTGTACAAGTACATTCAGATCAATACTAAATCAGCTGCCCTTTAGCGAGTCTAATCACCCAGTGCCCCACTATAATTGTAGCTGGAGTTCCTCAAAGCTACAAGCATGCTGATCACCGTAAGGTTGGGGTTTTTTTTCTGGCTTTTCAAGAACAGCAAATAAGAAGGAAACCCAGAAGAAATAAATGAAGAGAAAGAGGTAAAAAAGTTATCTAGTAAGGGCCCCAGCAGCTGTCAAGTACACGAACTGTCTTCAGATACTGAAGCAAGGTCTGTTTTACAAAAACTAAAACCCACCTTTAAAGTAACAGATTTTATTTGTTTTCCAGTGCTTTAGTGTCCTGCTAATAGTCATCAACATGCCAACAAACAATTCATGTTCAATCCATGTAATGTTATCTTTGGCAGCTTTTTAGCTTTTAGGAACATTACAGCATGACAAACTAATGAGATGGATTATGCATTGTTAATTTAGGCATTAGGAACACACAGCCAGAAGTGTGTTCCTAAGGGGAAATTTTCCACTGTTGAGAATGCTAAAGCTATCTCGTTTGATACAGCCAAGAAAATAAAGGGTTGTCCCTTTAGAATTGCTTTCTGCTGTAAAGAGATAGTGCATTTAAGCTGTGTTTAAGCAGCACATGTTTAAGTGTTTATTAGTTTGCTTTGAATCAACAGTTTAAAGCATGTTGAAACAGTAAAGACATGAAGTTGAAAAGACAGAAATTCAGCTTTAACGTATACCAGAAATTTAAAAAAATTCTGATTTAAATCAGAATTTTGAAATTATGTACATTATATCATAATTTCTGTGTTCTGCTTCTATATTTTAGAATCTCCTCCTTGTATTTTAAGAAGTTTTGATTTTTTTTTTGTGACCATGTTGCTGAAACATTATACAAGTAATTCAGGACTAGACTATTGCCATGGAGTTACATAGTTGTTAAGGAATTGCTAAGCATATTCATAGGTGAGAAGGCATTTAAAGAAATTCTTATGATTTCCAAGTTCTGTAAGTTCTGGAAGTTTATATTTCGCAAAAAATAGCTCAAGATATAATATGCAACCTACTAGGCGGAACAAAAGTTCCTTAAACCTCTATTAAAGCAAACACTGTCAAATTCTTGTTGAAAGACCTATGTTGCATATAAACCATCCATATAAACACAGCCATGATGTTCATGGTTATACTATCAATCTTTTGCAGTAAATGGAACTATTGCAAATAAATATTGCATCATGTGTAAAAAAGTGGTTACACTCCTCAAAATGCTATTTAATGTATTACATTTTTAAAGACATGGAAATAAAGGCATGCACAGGGGACTACTAGCAATAGAGTTAGAAAAATACGTGTCCCTTGTAAGCTGTGATTTTCCACGTCTCTGTGTACTTACACCTAAATTGCTTTCAGGAATATGTGCAGTTCTGCCTACCCCAAGATAAAGCCTGGGTGTGAGTCCTGACAATGCCAGGGCGATTCAGCACAACACCATAAATCTGCAGGCACTCACAAACGCGTTCTCAGTTTCATGGTCAGATCCTAAGTGTGGAGAGTGGCGTTTCTAACGCTTTTACTCTAATTATGACATTTCTTTGTAATAGAACCAGCAAAAATGATCCTGTCAATTGCTTTTTAGCTTCATCTCGTTCACTGGAATGCGGACAAGTATTCAAATGCAGCTGAGGCTTTCGACAAGCCGGATGGCTTGGCAATTGTCACTGTTTTCCTGAAGGTCAGTTACTGACATACTGAAAACACATGTGTCCCTCTTCCCTTTCCTTATCAAAACTGCCATCAGTGATGAGGACTAGGAAAAACACGTCTTTGTGTTAAATCGGTGGAGATGACTGTCTCTCATCCTGATTTAGCCCATGTTGCCAACTATGCCCATGCTTCTACATAGATGTTTTACCTAAATCCCCATTTCATCCACAGACCCTTCAAGAAGAGCTGTGCTTTAAAGCATGAGTGCTAGCGAGCTTGGGGTATTTTGTCCACTTTTGTAACAGGCAACTCTCACACCTTCTGTGTTTGCTTTCTGCTCCATTTACAGCAATGTGAACTTTCACAGAAAGACGGTTTGAGTCACGTGTGCTATTATTGGCTGTCAATCAGAAAAGAAAATCCTAAATCAGAACTCCAAGAAATCTTGAATCCATGCACATGACATGTTTAGCTATTCAAAACCAAGTGAGGCATGAAAAAGAATTCCTTATTATTAAGGACTTTGTTATATTAAGGAAATATCATAGAATAATATTATATATTATTATATACTA